TGTATGCCTAAGGTTGAAAATAAATGATGTTTATAGTGAATGCCCCTATGAATGGTCTTATTTTTACGATTTCGTTTTAATCCAAGTGATGCGTACGTGTGCTAAGTGAGTGAACATCAAAGATCACACAACAGAATTGCTCTCTCTCTCTCTCTGTCTCTCTCTCCCCACCGTTAAGTAACTTGTGCACTGTTTTACTTGCTTGTTTTTGACATATCCGACCGAACTACAAACTTTCCAGTGACGTCTGTGAGAAAGGTATATTCATTCGACAAGCTCGCGCATCTACGCCACCGCGTGCTCAATCCACTCAGCGTGCTTTGTTTATCAGCTCGCGCACATCAGCTATACAGGCTTAATACTGAATGTTTAACATTATATTCATTGCATACATATACTTCGTAGTAGACATCCTTAACTCCTTTCTGCTGTCTTTTGTTCTGTTGTTGGTGTTTCTTTGTCTGAATATGGCGCTTATCACATGTTGTGTGGTATCGGGGCATTTTAACGAGTACGAGTACAAGAGCTCAGTATCGGGCCCGGTATCGGTGCATCCCTAGTTTTTATACTGTACAAACTGTATTTTCTATCGCCCTACACCAACCCTACCCCTCACAGAAAACTTTCTGCATTTTTACAATCTCAAAAAAACTCATTCTGTATGATTTGTAAGCTTTTGTACCCATGGGGACCTCAATTTAGGTCCCCACGGTGACCCCCATGAGTTGGTGTGTATTCAGGTTTAAATCCCCACCAGTGTAGAAAAACCTGTACACACACACACACACATTAAGCCACTCGAGGCCATGCATTAGACTGATTTTACCATGGCCTCTCGTGACTTATTGCTTTAGTAACAGCAGGGGAGAACAAGCCAATGGCCTTCAAATGCAGGTTAAAAGAAATCAACTCAATTACAACAAAGGTCATCCACCCTCCACCATCCGGCACTCATCAAAGAGAATATTTCATTAGCTCAACTCAATAAGCAATTCGACGAACGATAAGAGCGGGTTTAAAGATGTATCTAATTAAAGGCTAGGCCTATCTAAGAGTGTAAGCGAGGGAACGAATAAACGAATGAACGAATGAAGCAGTCTGTGTCCATGGGGGGGAAGTAGGTCATTCACGCTTGGGCAGTTCATACAGATTCACTGTAACAAAGCTGTTCCTTTAATAGCAGAGATCTGGGACAAACCGTATTTTCATCACATTCTACAACACAGAACATTTTAGAACTAGCTTTTTTAAACAAATGTTCACCAGAGGTCATATTAGGTAAACATCCAAACCCTGAATCCTATCTTATCTGTTTAGTAACCGTGAGAGTTTCATTTAGGAACTTATTTAGAAAATCAATCTTAATTTATGACTTAAAGGAACAGTTTGCCTAAAAATGAAAATTCTGTAATTTACTCACCCTCATGTCATCTCTATAGAACCTTGTTTCCATTCCAGGATAAAAAATAAAAAAAAGGTGATTGTGACTTTTTCATCTTTTCAGACATTTTCAAAAAAAATTCAAGATATAAACTCAGATTTTAGTCCAGGATTCCATACGTTCCAAACCTGTATGACTTTCTTCTGTGGAACACAAAGTCACATTTTGAAAAATGTCTTAAGTGTTTTAAATCAAACATAATGTAGCATGACAGATGAGTATATTCTAAGTCAATATTCAGACTGGAGTTTCTTTAGCATGGTTGTTTTGTGTACTAAACGATTAACGAAGTGCTCTGCTGCAGTTCTAAGCAATACAATCACACCGCATGATGTGATCAAAGAGCAACTCAAGAGCACATCAAAAGCTGCACAACAGGTTGCTTTGTGAGAGTTGCCTTTTATGTTATGAGAGGGCAAAGCCTTTTAATTAAATTCACGTAAGACAAAAGAATCAATTGGTCTGAGAGCAACATCTGGATTTAGCCCAGGCAATTAACATGATTATAATAGTCATTTAATTTTACGGGATAAAACACTTTTACAACAGCTGGCTTCCGCCAGTTTTTCAACATCAGGATGAAAAATAAGGGAAAACTCAAAAGGGGCTCTGGGGGTAATTATTAAAAATGTAATAGCTTTATAACTGATGAGTACAAAATGATATGAATAATTATTCAAGGCTTTCATGTTTGATCCCCAACTTCTACTAGGCACTGCAATAAGTTCATACAAGACCTATTTCAGTGTTTTTACTGCTTTTAATCACAAAGCTTCATATAAAATACTAATGTTAATGTAAATTCAGTTAAACAGGTCAAATAAAGTGTACACTATTACAGTCCATTATGACAACAAATGCATTATTAAAGCAGTAAAGCCACTGTATGTTTTAATACACTCCAGACATATTCTAGTGGCATGGCTTCAGACACTACACTGCCATCCAAAAGTTTGGGGAGAATAATATTTTTTTTTCCTCTACACAAATACAGTAAAAATAGTAATGTCGTGAAATATTATTATAATTAAAAAAATATATATTCCATCATTACTCCAGTCTTCAGTGTCACAAGATCCTTCAGAAATCTAAAATGCAGATTTGAAGCTCAAGAAACATTTCTTATTATTATCAATGTTGAAAACAGTTGTGCAGCTTAATATTTTTGTGGAAACCGTAATACTTTTTTTCAGAATTCTTTGATGTATAGAGATTTCAAAAGATCTGCATTTGTTTTAAATAGAAAAATTTGGTTAATAAATGTCTTTATCGAGTTTTTAAAAATTCTTTAAAAAAAAAGTGGAAACAACTGCCATCTTTTTAAAAAGCCAGATTTATTCAATAACGAAACAAGTGACTCTGTATGAATGAGTCAATAAATCATTCACTCAGTCGATTTGATTGAAACACTGACTCTTACAATTAAAGAAGTGACTGTCTTTATGAGCAAGTCACTGAATCATTCATTCAAGTGATTTGTTTATAAACCCTGCTTCATTTAGGACATTGATGAAATATTTAAAGTATATATAAGTAACAGTATAAAAAAATTATGCTTTGCTCTTTTGTATTATATTAGAGCTTTAAACAGTAGTAGTATGGTGCAGTAATTTGTAGTATATTATACTTTACAGATTATGTTAAGCAGGCTATAGTATAGAGTGAAAGTATACAATGAGCAGTCTGTAATGTAGCATATTGCGTATTGTTAGTGAACTGAGTGTGTGTTGTAGACAGCATGTTAGTGGTGTATTCTAGTGCTGAGTAAGGCTGCACTTCTCACTGAGGGCTCGTTCATTCACGGTGACACATGACCTGATTCTTCACCCGCAGGCTAACAACACCCGCACACACAATGTTACAAAGGCTTCTAAAGAAGAGCTCTGCTCCCCACTTATTACACACTCTCTATCAGTTTACCCTTTTAACCTACGGCTTTCTCTCCCTTTCTCTCTAGCTGCAGTGACTCATGGGCAGTAATCCATACTAACGCCTCAGGAGTGCTGAGGTTCATTACACATTCAAACACTCCATAAACACAATAGATTCTGCAGTCCTTTTTTAGATGGTGTGTTTTGTATGCTGATGTCAAATCACTAAAAAAAAAGGCAGCCCATCAGTCAGCAAAATGTTCGATACTCTCCATCTGTGATCATTGTTTACTCTCACTGTTTTTCTATTCTTCTCCAGAGAAGTCTCAGTGTTATGTCTGGAAGTTAAAATCTAGATGTTTTAAAATGCTTATGCTGCTCAAAATCACTGTATAGGGAGGCATCTCACCCCAGTTAGAACTCGGGGCCAAAACAACAGGAAGTTGCATCTTTTTGCATGTAGATGTATGTAGATTTCATCACAAAGACCTGTTTCTTATTTATAACTAGCCACAATCCAGATGTTATCTGCACTAATATAGCACTTTACCAAGTACTTGATATTATTTTCAACAGAAACATATCTCCCTTCTATGTAAATTAGGTTTATTTTGAGCATTGATCACCAAAGTCAGCAATATTTGCTGTGAAAAGCATTTGGTAAACTCTATTTAACTACAAAAAGATGTGTATTTCAGTGCATGTTCAAATGATAGAGAAGACTGCACAGTTTAGCCGAATCTAAATAAACAGCAGTATTAGCAGGTGTGATTCATTCATATTAAATTCCCTTTCTATCTTTCACACTCTTTTCACGCATATTGCTTTTCTTTCTTTCTCCTGCCATTTTCTTTCCAGTGGTCAAGATCCTAATTGCTGCCATCCTATTCTCACCTGTTTGTGTAAAGCTGATAACATCTAAAAAAAGTGCAGGTCCTACAAAAGAAGAGTAGTTAGTGCTAACAATATTATATAACATGTACTTTTGCATGGAAAAAATGCTGTACATTTTAATTAAAAACACATCTGAGAAACAGTAAAAACAAAGAAATATATCATGAGCGAAATACATCTCACACACACAGCCACATAAATGTTCCCATAAACCCTTTTGGTGACCTCATGCCAGTCTGCTTGTGGGATTCTGTGGCTTGAGCTCCTTGTGTCGTACAGGCAATGTTGCCTAGCAACAAGGTAGAGAAAGCAGATCATTAAATTTTGCTGATGAAGTCTAGCCAGCAACAGCCACAGAGCGAGAGATCGCATAATCCATATTATCTTACACTGTGTCCTTCTCTTCAAATTTATCCATACTCTACTTTTTTGCACAGTTCTGTTCCATTAACTATACTTTTAATTAGGGCTGGGCGATATAGCTAAAAAATGTATCAACGATATAATGTTTAATATCGTTTGGTATTGATAATTATTGACATTTTTATAACCTTTTTTAAAACAAAGAGCAATAGAATTTTTTTTTTTAATTTAACCACTGTATTTTTAAATTAACCCAGTTTATTGAGACAAACAACCAATATTTTGTTTTAACAATCAAACACAAAATAAAAATTAAACATATCTCATTTCTAATGTTTTATATGCAGATTAAATAGGTCTTAAGGAAACTTTTGTCTTGTCTCCCGAGGCCACAGGAGGGGGCAATGAGCAAAATAATGCAACGCATTTAAATTTGTCAACGCAAGGAAATAACTGTCTATAAAAAAACGTGCATTACGTCTAAATTAACTCATAAAAATCAAATATAATTTCGTAAATTGCATAAACAATTATGAACAAAAACAGCATCATGTATTTATGCATTGCTTAATCCAAAGAGCCGAAGCACCATTCACACAGATTGCATTTAAAAACATATGAGATGCAGTGAAAAGGAATAAACCTCCACAAAGTCGCGAAGTCTTTTCTAAACGTTTAAACTGTTTTAACTTTAAATGGCTACATCTCTTGTGTGAGACATGAGTGCAAAAGACATATTTGTCTGTCTAAAAAATGCGCTGAATTTGCGTTCTGTGTGAATGGCTTGGTTTCAGTTTTAACCTAATCAAGATCTTCTCCGCATTGAGCTTCTATATTTCTCTAATATTCTGAATGAATAACGCAGCAGCGGCGCGTCTCGTGGGCAAGACTAACAAAAAATGTAAAATGCAACAACGTCACTTACATCATCACCGCATCTCGAGCTCCACTGATGACGCTCCCTGATGCACACCTAACATTCAAATGCAAATGTTTATTTTAAACTTGACTAATATTAATTTTTTTATTCACAATCTCCTCATCACAGGCAGGCACAGCACTCAAGTCACTCATAGCACGGGCCTATATCGTGCACTATATCAAACATTTTTTATATCGTTATCGAAGAAGGTGTACCGTCGATAAATATTGATACC